GAAGAACTTGAGGCGTAACAAAGTGCATCCTGTGCTGTGGGCAAACACGTCGCAAACAAACAAACAAACAAACAGAAACATCAAAACATAATTCATATCTAAATATTATAAAGCATTATGGCAGTTTTGAAGGGGCCCAAAATGCTCACAATGTTTTGATGGAAACGAAGATAAAATATCTGAGGGCATTAGTTGCATCTGAAATGAAGCAACCATATAAGTCTGTAGCAAAAATCGCAATCATAAAACAAGGAAAGATATCGACTTGTCAGGCAAATTTATCCAAATATTTACAGTTTGCCTCATAATAACTAGGAAGAATAACCGTAAAAATGGAAGAAGGCCAGAAGTCCGTAGAAGAAAAATTGGAAGGCGCACTTCCTTGTTTTTGGTTAGCGAAACGCTTACACCTTCAACAAGCTGTATAATTATTTTTTCATTTGCCGTTTTATTTTAAATGCAGAGTCGTCTTTTGCAGCTAAATAGTCGATATTGAAATCCCCCAAAACGACAATTTCCGATCCCGCTGGCAGTTTCGAGAGTGAGTCATTTAGTCCCCTCAACTAACTATGATTTAGTGCATCAATGAATGTCTCAACAGACGTCAGGTGGCCTATATACACAAGCAATAAATAATTTCTTGCACTTGAGTCGATGTACTTCAATCCATGTTTCAATATTTTCAGTGGTCAAATCCGTTCTATGTTTGTAGGGAATCCCATCGCGTACGTAAATTGCCGTGCCGCCGCCTCTTTTACCTGTTCGGTCATTTCTCAGTACCGAATAGCAAGTAATATATACTTCAGAATCCTTTATAGATGGGCTAAGCCATGTTTCAGAAAAAGTAAAAATGTCGAATTTCTTGTCACTAAATAATAGTCGAACATGATTCATCTTGTGCAAACTGCTTCGCACATTAAGGTGAGCTATTTTAAAGCCGCGAAGCTTCGGTAAGTATGTATGTATGTATGTATGTAAATCTTTATTTAAACACGGAAAATCATCAGTTACATAATAAAAACTAAGATTAATCAACTGCTTTACATGATTGCCGTGTGGGAATCCTATATATCGACTACGTTAAGATTTCGCCTAAAATGGTTAATGGATGAAGCATTCTTTAAGTTTTTGGGCAATTTATTCCATAACATGGCNATTTTCTTGCTCTAATGACAGGACTCGGCTTTCAAGTAACAAACACTTTTCTTCCAAATCATTAATTGCATTGTCTTTTTTAGATATAGTGGATAATAGCTTTTCACACTTCTTTTTGTAGTCGAAGAGCTCGACACCTAGGGCATTGGCATCTTGTTTTTGAATATTTTCCCTAAGCTTTGTATTTTCTTGAACTTGTTTCTGAAGGATCAATAAATCGAGTTTTAATCCCTCAATATCGCCAGTGATTTCAGAGTTTGATCGTATCTCAGGACTATTTGGCTGAATCTCACTAACAGTCGACGTTTGAAAACTACACTGATCATTGTCGGTCTCTTGCAGTAGTGTAGGTCGTTGAATTGATTGTTCGGTAGATCTCAAAGAATTGGCATCCTGTGTATCAGTTGTCTCTCTAGATTTCTTGTGAACTAATTCAAACAGCTTATCCTTTAAAGCGGGACCATCGCAGCCCTGAAAGTTCAGAGTTCTTTTTTTCTTGCAGTACCAATTGATGATGATATTCTCGTTTAAACATTTAAATTGCTTTGAGTTCCCACCAAGCGTTAGCTACTTTCCTTGCAATTTTAGAACATTTTCCACGAATTTCTTTAGTGACTCCAAGTCATTCATCCATACCAACTTCCCGTCATTAAGATGAAGATATTCTAACTCAAAAGACTTTGGATTGAGCGATGACGACTCGGTTTCTAAAACATTAACGGCATCAGCATCAGAGCAACAGAAAGTCCGTCCGTCTGCCATGATAGAGGTGTTGAAAAATGGTAAGTCGATTTTCGACGCTGTGGAAATTTCCGATATATCGAGGATTCAAGTTGGCATTTGTTCCTGGGTTTACGGAGATATCATCGCACTGCAACAGCAAACCGGCGAGTAAGATATCCCCAGTGAACTTGATGATACGAACTGAGGGTAGAGTCGCACGATGGCTTCTGTTTGTCGGTCTCTTTGGAGCTCTTCTTTCCATCGAGAACCTGGGAGGGGAAAAGGAATTAAGTTCTTTGCCAACAGTCAATGTTCAACAACAGCCAGTATCATTATTAAGCTGTAGATCGTGCGAAGGCTTTAGAAAATCTCCAAGAACCAGCAAGAAAACCAAGATAACTACAGAGCGCATAAACACGTGCCTCAACGTCGCCATCTTGTCTTAGCTTTATGATAAGAAAAGTGCGATTCAAGGATGAATGCTTTTCCATGATTTTCTCGATCTCGTCCCTCGTTGGTTTCTAATTTTGAAACTGTTCCATTAGGTCTTTCACATCTTCATCAAGAATCAATTGGAAACCTTATAATGATATCAATAGAATAGAGATAATTTGAATATATCAACAAAGTTGAAATGATAAATTGGCCACCGTTACGATTATAAAAGCTGACGTTTCGAGCGTTAGCACTCGAAATAAATTACCATTTCAAACCCAACTGGGCGTATTTCAAATAAAACAAAAGAACTGATGGGATGAATTGAACGGAAGTCTAGATCGAGCCTTTTTACTTGCGCCTCGTTAACATTGTTGTCATAATTTCAAGGATGAAGCTTTATACGAAGTGTTAACAATTACCTTAGAAATGAGCCTTAAGCGACTGGTACTGTTTTGTATGTTTCCGTCTGAGCACGAGGCATTGTTACAGACGCCTCGGCTTGAGTTGAATGGAATAGACAGGACAGCTTACAAAAGGCTGTTAAGCCTACCTTTACATTCAAGTTAAAGAGAAAAATCTTTCAATAAGTTTGAAGCTGCGTTGGCCGAGGTACCTGAAAAAAGGACACGAGTTACCATGGAGTGCTCCTTTATATCTTAAAAACTTTGTGGCTTGAACTGAATACATAAGTGGCGAGGGAAAGATAATGGATTGTGTTTAGATACACCCCTAGCAAGGGGGAAGTCCTTTTCTGAACAAAAGATTTGAGCTTTGTACAATTGAAAGCCAAATTGGAAGTTTACTTTAAAATATAAGCTGACTTTAGATACCTTTGTGTTAAAACTGAAGTGAATAAACGAAAACAAACCTAAAGAATGCTACAAATACCAAGAAAAATTGACTGAATAGGGATGGCATGGTTATTATCCAGCCAACCGGTGCAGTTACAGCTGCAACACATGGTTACCAAGTAGCAGGCCAGCTATTCGTTAACATTCCACAGCGACTTCATGGGAGTTGATCGAATTTTTTTCATTGTTGTTATCGTTGTTGTAAAGGAAGAAAACAAAATAAGATAATAATGTAATAACAATAAAAAAATTCAAACAAGTTTATCCTCTGTTAAAATAAAGCAAAGAGATTATGCTATCCCTCTCAGGGCAGGATGCCTGTCCATTAAAGGATTAGGTCGCAGCATTTCATTAGGTTGTCCTGACACTTCTCTACAACCCAGTCACACTCCTGGATTTCTCTTCTTGCTTATTGCAGTTTGACTACTTATTTAGGTAAATTCCAGAATAAACTTGTCTCTCAAACAAGAAAATATATACTGTGTGGCAAATTGGACATGTTATTAAAGCAAGGCCGGAGCAATAAATAGACAAATAAATAATCTGTTCATAAATAAATAACATTTGCTATCTGCCCCGCCGTGGCAAATTTGACTTCCAGCCAGTTCCAAGTAAGCCCCTCCTCTCTCGCAGGACCTCCTCCCCTCATCTAATGAAGCCTTAAAATAAATCAGCATTCCTGCATAAGGCCTTTTCATAATGGTAATTGAACAAAATGGAGGGCCATAAGTTCTGATGTCGTTCGCACCTTCTCAAAATCAAGCAGGCGTGCAAGTATGATTTCAGACCAAGATGGCATAACATAAAGTCTGATTACCGCTTCATTCCATCCACTTTGAAAGCGCAAAATTCAATCGCCTAAATGCAGCATCAAACAGTCAATTGATGTGAACTATGCAAACATTGCCTCACGATGGCTTCTTTGTATTTCATTTTCCGTTAATTTGATTCCTTTTCCTTTTATATCACCCAAAATGTATCCCCTTTCCCCGTTCTCAGTAACCATCTTCAAAATGTAGTCCATGTTTGTTCTGGAGTTGTGTGATTGTGGTTATAGTGTAGTAATTGCTGTTTTATCATTAACACAAGGCTTGTTATGGAATATTGGGCGGGAAGAGGCAGTTTAATCCTCTAAGATGAAACAGGAGGAGGAAATGACAAATATCGTGAGCTGTTACAATTTAAGCCGAAACGTCTAGTGACCTCACAACATTGAAAAAAATTGCAAGGTCCTATATTACTATCAAGTTATTTTACTTTGAATCCCGTGATTTTACATGGAAACAAAGATACGTACTTTTTAGCTGTATTAATACATCTTCATTGTTTTCATCTCTGTGCATGTGTGAAACAAATATGTGTCGGTTGTCAATTTACAAGCTTTTTTTCTGGAAATAATTATGAAGATAAACAAGGGTTTCACGCACAGTTTCTGTTTTTTTGTTTGTTTGTTTTGTTTTGTTTTTTTTTTCAATTAGTTGCGCTGGTAGATGAGCTCTGTATAACTCGTATAACTACTCACAAAGAGTCATTGTCAAGACTGGTAAGAGCCTGGTACTACTCTCTTGAAATCAAATCGCTTTTTTCGCGATATTAAGACGTTCTTCCACACATTTTAGGGATGTCCTGTTCACCAGACTCGTTCTTGGTATGCTTTACACTCTTATCGGTTCTTCACCTCTCCCAACGGAAGCATAAGCGGAAATTCGCCGTAAAAAGTTTGATGTTAGAATGTATTTTATGTTGAATGCTTTTTCAGTACTGATTGTTATTTCCTATTTAGTAGAGTGACACATTAAAACATTCCCCGCCAGTCTAATAAAGATGGCAAAAATGAGTGCTCGTGATATTTATTTCTCATGAAGTATCAACTTGAAATGAAGATTGTCGACGTACACCGGTACTTTACTCGTTTCAATACCGACCTACAGCGTTAAACAACTATTAAATTACTTTCAATTGGTTTAACTTTGTGTGTAAAAGTGACACGGGATTGCGTTGGTATCGTTAGACCACTCTCTGTGATTGGTTAACAAACCTACCCAATCCTCTCGGTCAATCAAATCAATTTTTTCGTCTCAGCCTACGTAGAAGCTACTTCAAATTTGAGTGAAGAAAAACTAGTTTGCTAGAATCTGCATTTGCCAAGTCGGTTCAAGCAGCACTGGAAGTACTAGTGCCACATAAATTGATTTCGAACTTTCTCGATGGTCAATTGCATAGGAATTTCATAGTTAACCTTAATTGTGTCTAACAAAGTTCTCCTTGATGAAGCTTAAGCCACGTTCTGCCCCTTTTGCTACGTTTTGAAAACGACTGACATTGCACTGACTAAATGTCTGTGTCTTTTAAGGGTGAACTTCTCTTAGTTTTGAGAAATTCCTCAATTTCTGTTTCTTTGTTCATATGCGCCAAGTCAGCCGCATCATTTCCATCCACTTTCAAGTTTACATCAGCATTGAGTTCAACCAGCTTTTTAACTACTGGAACGTTTCCATGAATCGCTGCCAAATGCAGTGGGGTGAAGCCATCTCCATCGCATCCGTTTATATCGGCATTGTTCTTCACCAGCAGTTCTATAATCTCGGGAGTACCACTCATACTTGCAAAATGAAGTACTGTAAGGCCGTGTATGTCAGGAAAGGTGTTTGCTTTCTCTGTGATTTTCATCGTTACGCTCTCGGGAGGATCCCTTCCCCGTCCTGACGTGAGGACTTCTCCAAAGACACCAACATCGAGACTACCACCTTTGGCCCGCTTCAAAAACAAGGGCAACAAAGCTTTTTGTGCCAGAACATAATGCCAAGATGGTTTTCCTCTGTCCTTCCCTTCAACAAGATAAATTCTTTCACTTGCATTCTCCTTGTATTTCAAATTCACATCAGCGTTCCTTTCAAGTAAACATTTCACTAAGTGTTCATGTTTATTCTTGACTGCAAAAAAAAGTAAGGTTTGTCCGTTGTTGGTTCGTAAGTTAATGTCGCATCCAAAATCCATCAGAAGTTGGGAGACACTTGATAATCTTCTACTTGCACAGCAATGCAACGGAGTCCATCCATCTCCATCTTGAATGTCTACAAGAGCTCCATGCCTCAAAAGGATGTCAGTAGCTGTGTAGTTGTTCCAATCAGCCGCCATAGTCAAAGTTGGAACCTTATCGTCTGTCCTCTGAGCATTTACGTCAGCTCCAAGATCTACGAGGGTCTGGACAAACTCACCAGAGGATGATTGACTTGCCCAAAGTAAAGGTGTGCGGTTGCTCTTTCCTGGTATGTTTATATCTTCACCCTCGTTTAAAACAATCTCCACAGCCCTCTCCGCATCATCGTTGGTTCTACATAAATGCAACTCAGTTAATGTATCGCTCTTCTCGACGCTATCTTTGTACAGTTTTCCCATTTCAACATTTCCTTCTCCTTTTTCTTGAAGAGCCAAGAGAATTTGCGACGCAGTTTTGCCAGGAAAAATGTTTGCTTGGCTTCCTGTTTTTTGAAAATTCATGTCTTGAACATAATTTTCAAGACAGCCTTGAGCTTTCAAAAACGTGTCAAAGTCGCCGTGAAATACAGCCGCTTGTAGTCGATTGAACCCGGATCGTGGATCTACGTGCAGAAAGGCTTTCCTTGAAAGGGACCTGAGGCTTGGCTGTAACAAAACTAACGGACAGTAAATCATCTAAACAAATGAAAGTGCTGATTAAAGAATTAGCCCTTACAACATAATGAAATTATTTCAAAATAAAAATTCAAATAATCCGATCATCCCTATAACACTGATGTAACTCTATGACTTATCATAACTATTTCAACCCTTTAAAATCTAGTACATGATGAGAAGGTTGTAATCCATTTGGAACCTCTACTTTCTGTTCTTATCGCAAATTTACATTCGGGAAAAAATGAAAAAAAGAAAACTAGGGAAAAATACAGTTATAGGAAATGAACCAAATGATTGGGAAAAACAGAGGGAGTCCACAATTAGCAAAGCACACAGATTCATGCAAAATAGATTCTTTACAGCTGAAAGCCACGGAAGTCAATTTGATCATGAGACAATTGACAGCAGAACCTAAACTGAACACAAAGGGAAACAGAAGGATCTGACATCACCTGTAAAGCGAGCCAAGGGAGAAAAAGGCCTGGAGATGAACCACACCACGAGTAAGTATGCATAAACAACAACTTACACCCGTAGGGACACATCGAAGCTGAATATGACGCTAACAGTCTACAAAGTGTGCCAGCTGTTACGAACAGGTAAAAAAAATAAGCTGTTTGAAGAGCAGCTTTTGTATAAAGGTGGATCGTGAACAAAATTTTCGACTCGTCGTTTCGTTATGACATTTCACCGTGTACGTACATCAATACTTCTGGTCGAGTCGTTGTTTTCCGAGTTCGACTTGTCGAACTACTAATTCGACTTGCCGTTTTAACAGGTCGATTCATCTGTTCGTTAGTTTGTCTCGTCATCTTGTCAGTTCGATTCGTTGGCTGGCCTCATCGAATCATCGTTTTACGAGATCGACTCACCTCTGACTACATCAATTTGCCGTGTTTTGTCGTTTTGCAGTTTCGTCGTTTCGTCATGGCGTTTGTTTTCTTAGTTGTGCCGTTTCGTCGTTAGGTCATGGAGTTTCATCGTTTCGACCCGTCCACTCAGAGGGGCTATCATTCAAATTAAATTACATTAAATGTTTTCTATTTTCGCGCGGTTTTGGTTCGTTACATGTGACTTGTCGGGAGGGGATGGAGGAGTTTAGGTGATTTTACCAAACGCGTTGAATAAAATCGAAGACATATTGTTTCCATCAAATGAAAGAGAACAGATCTCAAGAGATATTCATGAGAGAGATTCAAGGAAGATTCAAGAGACATCTAAGAGACCTTTTAAAAGAAAGAGAGAGATTTCAACGGCAGAAGCCAATTGGAGGTGGGACGATAATTCAATACTTAAGATTTAAAAGCGTTCCTCCAGTAAATATATGTAGTTGAGGTAACTTATGTAGTTACCTGTTGTATTCTTCATGTGTATCAGTCAATATAGACCTTGTCTCTTTTTGTGCTATAATAGTATTAATCCAATGTGAAGTGCCAGAAAATAAGGATATCTTTCATGTGTAGGATCATTGGAAATAATTTCCTAAAGTTGGGTGGTGGGCAGGGGAGGGGATTTTTAAAACTTAAATTTTTCATAGAATGTATGAACGCAAACTGAAACTGGGGCTGAAACCAGTAAACCTCTTAGTGAGGGAGGGGTATCTTCTGGGACAGGTCAGCTTTCCCATAGCACAGGTCAGCCATTGTGATAAAAGACACCCAGACCCACGACTTTAATCTCCTGCTCTCCCCAGACACATTAATCAGTAAATATTTATACAAAAAAAATCCGTGATAAAACCTTGGATAACAAGTAACACCTGGTTAAGATGACATTATTGCTCATTTGTAGATCTGAGTTTTCTTACATTTGATTTTTGTAAGGTTGTTTCCCTTACTTATTTAAATCTTACCAGCTCTGTAAGCCCTTAGAATTAGCATTCAAGTCTTACCAGCTCTGTAAGCCCTTGAATTAGCATTAAAGTTTTGCCAAGCCAATATATATTCACTGGTATGCACATCGATATAAAGCTAGCATTGGAATTCCAAATATGACAATATGGAAGAATTCATACTAACATAACATCATTCAACTCTGCTTTGGTTGAAGAACTGTGTTTTTCAAAGTGGAGATGATATTCTATAAATAAATGCGTCGTCGGATCGTCATGTGTACGAGTGAAGTTTTTCTCATGGTACTGTTCTAGACGTTTTCTAGGAATATCTATGCTGGGACGAACCTTGCATTGCGTAAACGCATACAACCGCCTTCGTAGTGAGTTGTCATTACCACCAAGAACACCAAAATTCGATTAGCGCTTTGCAAGTGCTGGAATATACAAAACTCTGTGACTAGCTTGATATCACTACTAGATGTCCAATTCCATTTTTACCTTCATGAAAACAATCATTTACTCAATTCAAGACGAATTCTATACTGTGGCATAGGTACCTCTTCAAGGATCCATTTTCAGTCGGGAGAGAGCAAATTATGGATAGATGCGTCCTGTATCAGTACAAGAGACGATCTTACCCGTCCGGGATTACCCGCTTTGATCCCGCGCAAGAAGAGAGGTGCGTACAGCGAACTTACAAAGTTCGTAACTTTTGGAAAATGTCGGCGACGAAGTCACGAAAAGCGGCAGAAGAAATTCAAACAAAGAAAAATCAGGCGACTTCGTCGCGGTCCATAAAAGCACAAAAATAGAGACTCAGCCGATATCGAGCCATTTTGACCTCACGAGCCGAAACGAAGAAACGGCAAAACAACAACTACGAAAAACCGATGTGGTCAGCGATGAGTCGAACTCGTAAAACGACGACTCGAAGAGGCCAGCCGACGAATCGAACTGACAAGATAACGAGACAGATGAATCAACTTCTTAAAACGGCAAGTCTAACTGGCAGTTCGACGAGTCGAACTCGGAAAATAACTACCCGACAAAGAAATATCGGTTGTGCAGAAACAATGAAGCGCTATAGCGAAACGACGAGTCGAACGTTTTGTCCACGATCTGCTTTCATACTTTTGCTTTATCTTTATGACTTAACTTGTTCTCACCCTGTGCGTTTACAAATCATAGAAGTAGTATACTTTATTACCGTACCGGTTGGTTGTAACTGGGAGTCGCATTATTTCTCAGGAGCAGCTCAACTATGGTTCGATGATTGTTGCGTTCAGCCTTTTGAAGAGCTGTTTTTTGAAACTGAAAGATAAAAAGTTCAGTTCGGTCAAAACAACACAGTTACTGCAAATCGCTCCCGGCTCACGACGACATGGTAATCCTGGACATGTGAAAAGTCTGCGAGAGGTTATGTGATTCTTTAAAATCCCAAACCGCGTACTTGAAACCAGATTTGAATATCTTCATATATCGGCACATACGCAAACACGAGTGGCAAGCAACTTACCCTATCTACGGCATTGACATTTGCACCGTGCCGTAACAAGAGTTCTACAACAGCTCTCTTTCCATACCATGCGGCAAGGTGTAGGGGCGTCAAATTAAACTGTAAAATGAAAGAAAAGCATTGGATAAAGGCGAAATGCTCATCTATTCAAAGAAATTAAATGAATAGAGACACATTGGAACGCTTACAGGAATAAAGACAAAAGCAAACGAGTAACCTCATCTCTCTGATCCACATCTTCACCATTTTCAAGGAGTAATTCAACAAAGTCACGTCGACCGCTGATTGCAGCTTTGTGCAATGTCCCCCTTGATAACTGTAAAAACAGGACTGCATTTCATTTTAGCACTAGCTTGTGTTTTGCACGAAATTAGCTTTAGTCCCTGTCTAGTTATATAACATCCCTAGGGGCATGTCTCCATAAAAGAGAACACGCGCTTCGAAATTGACGGACAGAGCAAGAATCGTAACATGAATACAAGGTTTACTCCGGGAAAGGAATACAGAATTATAAGTACAATTAAAACATATTCGCTGTTTGAATTAGTTCAAGGACATTACGGCGCAGTGCCTGAAAGTGATTGTAATTTGTCTATTTCAGTTTGACTCTATATACTTCGAGAGAGAAGGAGTGCAGAAGTAATTTCCACATATTTCCCAAACTGTTGGTGTCTAACGCAAGTTCAAAACAGCTTGTAAGACATGAATCACAAAAATAGGGTATTCATTGTGAATGCATCGATACACAGAGAATATTCTTTTAAAAATTAATTCATTTTGATAATGAAGAGGCTATCGGAAACGTAGCCAAATACAAATGTACAGAGTATAACAAATTGTCAAGAAGTCGAAGCATGGAAAGAGCAGTTCGGGCGGAACACAATTTTTTGACGAAATGCAATTTCCAAACATCACAGTTGAAATGGGGCGACCTACACCAGATCTATGTGCACCATACCAAACGTTTTTTCATAATAATGGAAAATGAATAAAGAAGAAGTAGAATTTGAGTACAGTGACTGTGTACAAAGAATTTTCAAAGCAATTCCAAATTCTTTCCGTTTATTCCTTTTTCTCTTTCTTCCGAATATCAGGAAAGTGATAGGTGGCCATTTTGAGCTTCAGTTAGTCTCGTGCACCAGTCTCTTCCTTTAAGAATCACATAGAAATGGATAACATAGCCAACGGCAAACATGCTGTACCTTCTTCACGCACTGTAAGGCGATTTGAAGGTCCATATAATGAGGTATTTCTTCGGACAGGGACTGCGGAGAGGGAGGGGCTGGTAGGGCCGCGGCCCCATCACTTTTTTGCGTCCCCGCCCCCACTTTTCGCGCTAATAAAGAAAAATTATTACTATGATTTTATTCCTTTTTTTCGATTTTCAATATGGAAAAATTATTTTCAATTGTCAGCCCTCCCACTTTACATCTTGCTCCGCGGTCCCTGTCGGAGAGCCCACAGGTAAGTTCTGTGATAATGTCTGCGGCTGCATGACTATTACATTTAGTTCTAACCAGGCGTCACTTTCACGTGTCATACTTACTTCAAAAATGTCGCGAAACAAAAAAGGAAAGGTGACGTGAAGCCACCATTACAATTATTTACCCATGTAAAACTTGAGATTCTTGCAGCTTATTATGATGGAAGTTTCGTGTCAAATCGGTTTTATCGTTACCGTACCATCATTTGAGTGTGTTTACTTGTGAGAGAATTTATGAAAATTTGCAGGTAAGAGATGTATGACTGTTATTTACTGCTAAAGGGCTACATTTTAAAATTTTTAGACAATTGTACTTACTTTTGCAATTTTAGCTCTTAGCCCGCCGGTCGATTCTGGGTTCTTGTACTAAAAGAAGAAAGGCAACTTCGACGTTAACACATTCCAACAACATTTTTTTTTAAATTTACATCATAGGTAGAGCATACTCTCTCTATGGGTCTCCCGGGTCTTTCCGATCGCACCAATTTTCGAGGTAATTAAAGGATTGGTCATTATTCATCGCCTTGAGGGGAGAGGGGAGGGAGAGAGGGGGGGTGGGAGGAAGATTTTGGTGTCGAGCGGCTTGGTGAACATCACAACTCGAGGGAAAACAAAACTAACTCAGTTTCCCAAAAGGAAGGGAATATACAGGATGAATCCGCAGTTCAGACGCATAGGAAAACAATCCGCCGGCGGCCTTGAGTAGCATCTCTTGAGTCGTATTATCAATGCAAATTACTTTCCAAGTGTCACATTTGAGCAATCTACTGTTTACTTTGAGAACTATTCTTACACTAATAGTACTTATTTCAAATATTATGATTCGTTTCAAACCTACAACGTACTTACATATAACATGAAAAAACAACGTCAACGGCGACTTACCACACATTTAACGAATGATACCTCTCGTCTCAATTTCAACTAAGGTAAACAAATCATGTCTTTGTCGAACATCTACTATTAGATTACGTTACCTTATTTCCTATTTGGCGCATTTCTTTGGAAGTAACGTCTGTAGATAAAACGCTAGATCTTGTAGGGTGAACGCTCTTTCTGCTGTTTTCACTAAGAGGCTTGACACTGATGCCTGGGGAAAATTGCACGTGCACCAAATTAAACAAAAGAAAGAAAATACCAGACATAACGTTGATTCCAAAGAAATCTGAGCTATATTAGATGAAAATCCACTCCTGTTTTTGTTCTGATTGTATTTAAAGGCATGAAATAAAAATTGCGAGTAACACCTTACGATCTTTAAAAACATAGACAGCGTAACGGTTTGTTAAAAAGAACGTATGCTAAGTTATTATATATATATATTATTACATCAGTTATTAGCAATAAAAACCCACGTTTGCCACAAAACCACTTTCTTTTTATCTAATGTAATTGTCCCCGATTCGTTCGCGGTTGATCATGGCAAATTTACGCGCCTCTATGGGGCCGCAATAGGTAGGTTTAAGTAGTGGGAACCTCTTATATCAAAAAAAAAAAACAAAACAAAAAGAAAAAAGCAAAAATACGCCCTCAGCGAACAACGCTGTACATTCCCGAGCTTTGCCAAACTCCTCATTTGAGGTGTTGGAAGTCTGTTCTCAAACCCGTCAAATTGAACTGGAACAGAAGATTCAGCGTATTCTTTGCTACGGGCCTTTTTAGCCAGGGATAATTTAATTGTCATCATTTTTTAAGTTTGATTGATATTTTTGCACTTTTCAACGTCCTGCTAATCAACTCCCCAGTAAATTGAAAGATGTTAACAAATAATATGAATACAAGTGTATTCATACGAACTTAGCGTATGAATAATTTATTGTGAAGGTGTAGTCTGATCGTCCGGGTGAGTGTAGTCCTGAGAAGGACTGTTGTCGGTGGTAGTGACTGACGTTTCGACAACCTGTGCGGAAGTCATCATCAGAGTCAAGTGATGACTTGACTCTGATGATGACTTCCGCACAGCTTGTCGAAACGTCAGTCACTACCACCGACAACAGTCCTTCTCAGGACTACACTCACCCGGACGATCAGACTACACCTTCGCATGTTACCCCCGGGTTCAAAGCATTTACTGAATAATTTATTGTTGTTGTTTAAGAACTAACCGTCTAGCTTGTGCTCAACTTTCCGAAATAAGTCTTCGAATCTATCTATCATACTGCGCAGAAAGGAAAGCAGCTTTTCTGTTGCTTTCTCTCTCTCTTCTTTCGTCGGAATGTCATCCAGTTTCTCATCAATTGCAGCAAGTTTCGCATTTTGGAATTTTTCCATTACTTCTTTGACATCTTCGTCAATAATCCGTTGGAAACCTAAAATGATGAAGTACAATAAGAAAGTGAATGGGCGATGAAGATAGTGATAATGATCATGCTGATGATAAGTGTTATAATAACACTAGGTAGATGTTGCGCTCACTAACAGGCGACAGGAAATGGCATGTTGCCCTTGCAGATAGGACATCAACTCATTAAAAAATTAAAAAGTTTCTTCTTCTGATAACGGAAACGGGTTAATCTGCGTATCCTATGGTCCTCACTTGTTTAAAACTATTAAGTAAGCGCAGGGAGAACCTTTGGAGAGAAGATTCCAATAGGCTGACAAGTAAGTCACAACATAATGGCTATTACTAGCTGGCAAGTTTGATATATTGTGATCAATAAAGGAAAAAGTCATGTAAGGTAGCCGAGCTGATGCCTTGTTACAGGTTAGGCAGTTGGCTAGAAAGATTTCAACTGACATCAGAGAAAGGGATGATTTTGGTTTCTAAGCGGGTATGTTTTAGAAACTTCAATAGACCTAAAATGTTGGAAATGCAAACTAAAAAATTGCAGGTAGTTTCAAATCCCTGGGTAGAATATACAGCGGTTATCCTTGGAAAGCCAGGTCCTCATGGTCTTATGCTAAAATCCTTCCTTAGCGAGGGAACTGATATGATTAGTGAAGTATTTTTTGGATAGTTACATTTGCACTCAAGTATCTGTGACACCTCCCCTACCTTCGGCCTTCCATTCTGAAAGTTGGTCTAAAAGCTCCTTCTTTTTGGCCACATTCAGAGGCAGACCTTGGACTAGATTCTTAAGCTTGTCAAAACATTGGTCGAAGAAGATTTGAGTCCATTCACTCTCACCAAAATGACTTGCTCTATTCCTAACATTCTCTCTGACATCATCCGCCAGTGACTTGATATCATACAAAGGATCGGAAGAGACATATATTTGCATGGGGTACTTTCTACTTCCTAAGAGTCTGAGAGCGGCACTCAAATCCATGGATTGGTCAAATGCCGAGAATACTGCGAGAAAGTTTGGGAGGTACAGCTTGGCAAGATCAACCGGGCTGCTTACATTATAGTTGTACTTCTTTGTCTTCTTTCCATGGATATCAGAATTGTTGTTAATATTCCCAAAATATAAGTCTTTCAGCGAAGAAACAGGACTTGGAGTGACTGCAAGATGGCAGACATCCGTGTAGGTCAGTGTTGCTAGACTGCATGGTGTCGCTAAGCCATTAAGAAAGTTGTCCAGGAATGCATAGAGGTTTTCCATTCCTTGTTTCACAATATCAGGCAAAACAGGGGCCACGACCTTATTCAGAGTAACAAGAGTCACAAGCCATTTTTTTACTTTGCTAAGGACATCCATATTGATAAACTCCACAGTTCGATGTGCTGAACACCAGGGAGGATCTGTAGTGATCAAAATAACTGAACATTAATTTACACATATCGGTAACTATTGAAGGTTGCACCCTAAGTAATGCAGGCAAAATAACTTCCATAATTTGGAAAGTGAAATTGTCAGAACTTGAAAGCAGTTACTAAAAGATTATATTCCAAAATTGGAGCTGCATCCTTATTATACACCAATATCACATAGATTAAGAACAAATGTTGTCGACTACCACCTAACTTATTATAAACCGCCCAAAACGCGGGTTGCAAATTCTTTGTCTGCGCGGCTTCACATCTATTAGCTCACGTAAAGCCCTTCCGTAGTGCCTAACCGTGTGCTCTCGATACGCTGCACTATGGCCTAACATTCGAATATGAGCTCTTCATAATGTTGAACCTGTGTTCCCTAGCGTAGACGAATGAGATTTCCTAATATCTACTCCCTTTCAGTTCTGCTTACGTAATGGTTAGATTTGTGCCTGCATTACAGATGTTTACGTATGATTAAAATAGCAACTTGCACTTACGGATGTACAGTTACGTGACCGACCGAATTTTCTTTGCTTGCTGGGTTATTTTCATCACTATCTTTTAGAATGGGGTTTCGCTGCGCATGCGTCTCGCGCTCCGCTATAACACAAGTGACAGTCAGCGACAGTAGAGTAGATTCAGACCTTTTCCTATTAAACGGAAAAGATATTCTATTGGAAGATAGCACTCGTAACATGCAAGAAAATGCTATTTTGACTGCACAACAAAGCAAAAATTCCTTCTTTCGGTTATTGTTGTTGTTGACGTTTTATTTTCAGTCGTCTCCTATACGAACAAGTGTGCGATGGGTTCGACCTCACGACCTCACGCTTCCATAAGTCGTCTAGATGTCCACCCTCGATAGCTCATTCCTTAAAATTGTCATTCGAAAAAAAAATTCAAAAATTCAGGCTGCACAGAATCTAAGAAGAAAGGTCTCTCGTAGTTGGAATGCAAAGCAGCTTAGAAACGAGTAAGATAAAACTTATGTGGAGAGGCTATGATCAAAACCGAAATCGACGTTGACATTTACCTTCGCTGAGTTACATAAGATACAATCTGCTAAATTCCAACTAAAATAGTTTATTCCTTCTAAAATCACCTTAAACGAAAAAAACCAGTACTTAAACTTAAGGTGGCGCTGATTGATGACCATGAAATTTTGCGCAGCAAAAGATTTTCAGATCAAGTAAATTAATACTATTTACGAACCTTTACTCTAAAAGGAAATCAAAACTGATATTTACTTTCGCTCGCCATGAAATTTCTCTAAAATTAAGTTTCGTGTTTATCTCGCCTTTTTTATTCAATTGTTATTCAGCCATTGCAGCGATGTAACCTCCATCAATTTTAACGCTTTGGAACCAACTTGTAAAGGGATTGAAAGGTTCACATCACGACCAAGTCTACTGTGCATTTGAGGTCAAGCATAATGACAGAAAAAAAAAACCTATTTCCGCACCAGACAGTCGACTCTTGAATTGTCTTTACTCGATAGATCGATTAGAACAATTATAAAATGTAAATGTAACATAAATACGCCGCCATGTATGTCAAATTACATACATACATACATACATACATACATACATACTTTATTGTCGCCTCCCTAATGGGGCTTTTCAGGAACAATATATAAATTGCTGACTATACATTCAAATAAAATTTCATCCAAAATTTAATTAAACAAAGAGTTAAAGATGTACAATTTATCGTCCGGATCGTCGAAAATATCCACAACTAACCATGGTGCAAAACTAACTTCTTTTGCAAATTTTTCTTTAGAATATTCTTTAAAGCTCCTCTTCGTGACGAATGCTGCTGATTTACGTTCTCTTTTCAATCTCAGAGTAACGTAAACAAGGTCGTGGTGGCTTATCGAAGAGGGAAGTACGCTCGATTCAATAACATGCTTGGAGTTTGAGGCCATGATAACGTCAATCAGGGACATTGTTGACTCTGTAGTGCGAGTTGCACTTGAGATGAGCTGTTTCAGGTTGTAGGTGGAACAGAAGCTTGTTAATGCTTGAGATTCGGGTAGATCAGGTTGTAATAAATTACAGTTTATATCTCCAAGAATGTAAATTGGCTTGTTTAACAAAAAAGCGGAGATCAAGCTTATGCCCAAATCGGCTTGAAGGCATGCTACCGGGGAACTTGGTGGTCGATAGGTTGTGCAAACTAAGAATGACTTAAAATTTCGCAATTGAATTTTCATCCAAAGTTGATGCAGACCGTTGCTTGATACTCCAGAGATTTCACGTAGAATTTCAGTTTTAAGACGTTGTTTAACGTAAGCACACACACCGCCGCCTCGTTGGTTTTGTCGGTCCACTCTGACAATATCATATCCAGGAATTTCAATTTCCAAATTAATTACAGAAGAGTCTAACCAGGATTCGGAAACGGTGAAAACGTCGAAGTCATTCCAGAGAACGGTATCTTTCACCCGAATGAAGTGTTCTCTTCGCTTGAGTGACCGTACATCGAGGTGAGCGATCTTGATGTTTTCCTTCCTTGAACATTGTCCAGGACCAGGATTTAATTCAATATCATGGACTAATTTGATCCCAGGATAGAAAGGAACAATCCTTGCGAGTTTTTCGACGCATTTCAAGTTTGTCAGAGCGCCAACGAAGGTTAAAAACACCAAAATTCTCAAGACAGAAATGAACGTCACTGACTCGTAGATATGCATAATTAACTTAATCATTGAAATTGAAAGTGTTACAGTAGTGATCAAACTATTTGCGAGCCAAGGATTAACACAAACTGTCCATAATTCTGTGTTCTTGTTATGACCTGTTATCTCCTTTAATTTGATCTTATGATCAATGTTTTTTCTTTTTTCATTTTTGCTAACGCGGCGTGCAAAATAATCAAAGGGCAAGAACTAGATTAAAACTACTGCGTAATAGTTATTTCTACGAGTCAGTGGTTTTACTAACTGCTTACTTTAGCGCGTATAAGCTTAGATCTAGTCAATGACATGCGGGAAAACTGTGGTATTTTACTTGACGCAAGACTGGTCAAGTAAAACAAATTTTACGAGAATAATAAGAATAAACAACTTATTTACGAGTTGAAATGCTATAGCGTGACGAGCTTTGTGATGCAAACCCAGACTAGGAATGTTTACCCACGCGAAGTAACCTATGAAGTTTCGTTATGGGTGATAAATTAAGCCTCTCCTTTGACAAATTTCTATCTCTCTCATTATCATCTAGCCGAGAATCTGGGTGAATTGGAGATATGTGATTAATTGATGTTCGCTTGTTTATCCCATGATTAAGGAAATTAGCTAGTCGCAAAGAACGGTTTCGCCTCAACCTAATGATACCCCGTTCTATTAACCGGATGAAAGGATGTCTTCTTGTTCTGGAAAACATCCAAAAGATATTTATACACCTTCTCGGAGTCATGAGTCCCAACACGTTGTCAGGTCCCAACATGCCACCAATGCAAGTAGATATTAAAATTATACCATGAAGGAGAAGACCGGTAACAATATAAAAGCATCCTTACTCTTTAACTGCTGCCGCGCTTTTTCGAGTGACATGAGACAAAGTAACATAGTTATATAATCCAATTCACGCAGTGGAGCACATGTTGTGAATAAATTTTGATTACGCATGTAAGCCAAAAATAACAAGTTTCCTGCAGCTAACACATCTAAATCAAGAGGTTCCTGGAGGTTCCATAAAAGAAATATACTAAATGTCTACGTATTCTCAGTGACTATGTTCAGTCCTTTCCTAAAAGAACAATGTATGGGGCGGTTTGGTGGAAACCCTCCAGCTTCCCTAAATCAGAATTATGTCCAACTTCGACAGCTTGTTCCTTCAAAAATTATCCGGCGAAACAAAAAGCAAGCATCTTAATAGAACTGATTCGAAACACTGAAGTTTCACGTTGATGAAATACAAAGCAGCTTCAAATCGGACAAGTTAATACTATTAACAGAACTTCGACCCAAGACGAAATCGAAACTAACGTACTGACATTTGCCTCTGCTATGTTATCACGAAATTACTATAAATTTTCGTTTCATGTCTGTCTAGCCTTGCTTCTTCAATTGTTATTCACTCATTGTGCTAATTAATTTTAGCGTTTTGGATTCTGTGTGTAAAGAAATTGGAGGTGCATGAGGTGCATGTCCTCTATATCCTCATTCTGTTTCAAGCATAAGAATACACATCCAAAAATTTCAGCACGCGCGTTCAATGATTTAAGTAATGACTCCAATCATTCTTAAACAATGCAAAATGTTGAATTTGAGGGTGGGAAAGTCGCGAAAGCACAACTAAACAAAATGGCGGAAAAGTGAGGAGAAAGTACCTTTTCAATTCAGAGTTCGAGGGAGAATGCCAAGAACAAAAACAGCCGCCAACAAAGCACAAACTGGCTAAGATTCTGGACTTTTTAGGCTTCCAAAAACGGCTATCAAAAAACAAACCGCAGACCCTGAAAACAATTCTCGAGATGGGGAAGGTTACCAGAGTGATAACGGTGTGAGGGTTACAGCATGTTGTCAACCGATACCTTACGAGAAAGAGTACAAACGCTCGACTATTCGTGACAGAAAGTTTAAAAGCTTGAAGCCAGTTCTTAGGGAAAAAGCCCGACTACTCTAGCAACAAGGTAAAGGCCGACCAAGTTTGCCAAGACACGAAATGAAAATTAAAGAGGATTGGTAGCTTCATTGGAATGACTATCACATCAAGCAAGAGGATGCACTACTCGGCCGTTCATCTCAAATTGTATCTCCCGCAATCAAAACACTTCCCGAGCGAGCAATTTTACTTGCACCGTAGAAAAAAATTTTCTACTCACGCCCGGTTCAGACGCCGAACTTTTCATGAGCCGAACTCAATTCGGATTTGGACCGACCCAAATTAACAAAAGTACGCCTGCTGATTCAGACGCCGTTCTTTTTGGCCGTTCCAAATACAGTTCCAGTAAAACCAGTCAAACTACTTGCAAAATACATTATAACAATTTATGCATTAGGATCGGCACATGAAAACTGAGTACGGCGTCTGAATTAAAGCCGTTCCAAAGGCGAAATTCTCGGCCAAGCCAGGCGAAAAGAACGGGTGAGCCGTTCCAAATTGATTCCGACGCCGATATTTTCACATACTTAATTCAAGGAATTACGTTCGACTCATTAAAAGATCGGCGTCTGAACGGGGCCTTAGCTTACCGTAAATTGATGCCTCTTTGTCCTTTAGTTTCCTAGCAGCTCTAGACAGTTATTCACTCCTACAAAATGTTCAGAAAAGAATATTTTGTCTCACAGTTACTCTAAATCCAGATGGGGCCTATGTCAAATGACGGGATGAATCGGACGAAAGTCTTCATCGTGCTGTTTCGTTCGCGCCAATTTAGCATTGCTTTCATGATTTTAAAGATCATTCTGGGTACTAAAATAGGGAACAATCAACTACGACATGCACTAAGCGACTGGTAGTGTTTCAGTATGTCTCCGTTTGAGTACAAGGCAATCATGTTACATAAGCTTCGGTTTACGTTGTATTATGTCTANGTAAGGCCCGGTTCAGACGCCGAACTTTTCATGAGCCGAACTCAATTCGGATTTGGACCGACCCAAATTAACAAAAGTACGCCTGCTGATTCAGACGCCGTTCTTTTTGGCCGTTCCAAATACAGTTCCAGTAAAACCAGTCAAACTACTTGCAAAATACATTATAACAATTTATGCATTAGGATCGGCACATGAAAACTGAGTACGGCGTCTGAATTAAAGCCGTTCCAAAGGCGAAATTCTCGGCCAAGCCAGGCGAAAAGAACGGGTGAGCCGTTCCAAATTGATTCCGACGCCGATATTTTCACATACTTAATTCAAGGAATTACGTTCGACTCATTAAAAGATCGGCGTCTGAACGGGGCCTTAGCTTACCGTAAATTGATGCCTCTTTGTCCTTTAGTTTCCTAGCAGCTCTAGACAGTTATTCACTCCTACAAAATGTTCAGAAAAGAATATTTTGTCTCACAGTTACTCTAAATCCAGATGGGGCCTATGTCAAATGACGGGATGAATCGGACGAAAGTCTTCATCGTGCTGTTTCGTTCGCGCCAATTTAGCATTGCTTTCATGATTTTAAAGATCATTCTGGGTACTAAAATAGGGAACAATCAACTACGACATGCACTAAGCGACTGGTAGTGTTTCAGTATGTCTCCGTTTGAGTACAAGGCAATCATGTTACATAAGCTTCGGTTTACGTTGTATTATGTCTAAAGGACAGCTCAAGAAAAGCTGTTAAGCCTACCTTAACATTTAAGTTAACCTGAGAAATATCTTGAGAAGTCACAAGTTGCTTTCAAACAGTTGGAATGGCTGGACAAATGCCGGGTAATGCTCCTTAATACTTCAAAACCTTGTGACCGTAAAATAATAAGATGTGGAAATGGCGAGTGAAATATGGCACGAGTTTGAGCGAAATAACGATTGCAAAGGTCAATTATTGGTCAAAAAAACCCTTAGCAACGGGAAAGTCCCTTTTGCGAACAATGTGCATGGTCCTCGAACAAAATTAAAAGAGAAAAGTCACCCTAAAAAAAAATGACATTTCGATAGCTTCGTGCTTAAATATAAATAACTGAACGAAAAACTCCCAAAATGCTACAAAATACCAGGAAAACTAGATTGGAAGACGAACAGATAATGACGTCATATCTAAATTTATCCGATACGTGCGGAGGGAACGGTCGTATATCACTGATAGCCGATAGTGACTGTTATTTACTGCTTGCGTACGCTATCACATTCGGAAAGGAAAATTTGACAGAGTAATCTACACATATGGGCAATACATATCTTATTCTTATGGCGACGCCACATTTGACTAGGAGCTAGGGAGAAAGGCTCACTGCTCCGATAATATTTCTGGGGTTTGGAATGAAATCCAGCGGTGTGCGCACTCTGACCGTGTTCCATCATGGTCGTGAAACAAAAACTGTGTATTGCACGACGAGATCAGATGAAGATCTTTAGCGGCAGCGAGAATATACGTGGAATGTAATGAGGATTCACTGTCTGTTGCCGTTCCAAAGAAAGTTAAAAAGTTATGACGGGCCTGTGCGACTCTTGCCATTCTTCCGTAACGAATTCGTTCCTAGGGGGGGCAACCGGCGTAATTCAGAAAGAATCGAAACTGCAGTATTGCCTAGGAATAAATCTCGACAGAAATGGCAACAATTACCCACAGAGCCGATGGAGGGGCGAGTAAAATCAAATTCAGAAATTGCATTTCTAGACGCGTTGTATTTAACAGTGAATTGGCCCATGACATGCAAACACATTACAGAGAGACAGAGCTTCTAATTCACGAACCTTGGGATTTGTAAAAGAAAAAGCCCCTCGCCTCCTAGAAACGCATTTGTCTCGCTCCTTCTTTAATAAAAACGTACAGAGTTCAACATACGCTTCAAGAATAGGGGGTGCCTATATGAAGGTTTTGAGAAACGTACCTCTGGAGTTGTTTCTGCGGAAAATTGTGTTATGCCTCATTCGTTAAAGCCTCCCGACACATGTAAGTGAGGTGGACGGGTATTCTGAAGTTGCTCCAAGTATACTTTTAAACAAAGAAAGAAAATAGCGCGCGACGAAGTCTGATAAACAGGAAAAACAGTGGTGGCAAAGCAAGCCCAAAAAGGCGGAAATCGCCAAAAAACACAACGGACACACAAGAAGTGAGTCAGTTTTATCAATCTTAAGTGTAAAATGTTCATATTTCGGAATATTTAGTGTTTTAAATGGGTGGGTACATTTCGCTGACCCCAGTCCATGGACTTCCCTCGATGGACTACCTAAATGGACCACCCATATGGACTACCTAAATGGACTACCCATATGGACTACCTAAATGGACTACCCATGTGGACTACCCCAAATTACTTACCTTCAAGCAAGGAGCACAACAGAATTTATTTTGAGCCGCGAAGCGGCGACTTTCCGAGGTTAGTACGAATGAGCCCCGAAGGGGCGAGGCGAGCCGCGAAGCGGCGAGAGTATTGTAAGACCTCGGGGAATGAAAGCTCATCGATATATAGTGTTATATGATGGTTTGATGCTCGTAGCAAAGTGCTATGAACACGGTGAACATCTTCACAACTTCGCACAGTAAAGTTATCGGGTTATAAACCACAAATGCATGAATGAAAAAGCACGATTTACATAACAAAGCGTAAGTACCGTTGATATTTTATAAAATTTATTGCTTCTTTTGTTGTTAAGACAGCTGTTGAAATTCGTAACGGTTCTTGAGTTTTGTAGTACTCAAGCTTAAGTTTGTTATTGTCTTTCTCAAGCTTAAGTTTGTTATTGTCTTTCTCAAGCTTAAGTTTGTTATTGTCTTTCTTCTTTTAGGATTATCTCACAATTCTTCAATTCTGAAAACAACATTGTCTCCGTTGATGTAGCCTTCCAAGCCTATGTAGAGGCATGTGAAAATCGCAAATTATCAACCGAAGATAAAGCAAAGTAAATGCAGAGAAATCACATATGCGAAAATCACTGAGAACCATTTTAAGTTTAACTTCACCTTGCCTGAAATTTTCACTGAAGAACAGCGATGTATCCACGCAATCCTTCGATATGTGGCTTGCAAAGCAACATACTTCCACATGTTTGATCGTAGTTTCAATTACAGGCTTGAGTTGATAAAAGTCTCCTGACAGAATGAGTTGTATACCTCCGAACGGCTTTTTTTTTTTCTTGAAGTGCCGAGCAACTTGTTCAAGCTATTCGGACAATTCTCGACTTAGCATAGAAACCTCGTCAAAAACAAGGATGTAACATTGCTCCCATCGTTTTCTCGCCTCTTCTTTTGCTTGTATTATAGATATTAATTCGTGGGTTCCTTTCGTTCCTGTGCCAATATCCGCGAAAGAATGAGTGGTAGTCCCACCGACGTTCACGCCTGCGATTCCTGTTGGAGCAAAAACAAATACACTCCGTCCAGCTGCCCGAAGCTTATCGATCGTCGCATTCATTAAGACATAATATCTTGAATTTATTTTGGGCCGCTTCGCAGCTCAAAATAAATTCTGCTGTGCTCCTTTGCTTCAAGCGAACGAATGGAGCGAAAAGAGGGACTTCATTCTCTTTTGTACTAGACGCGTTCAACCGGCGACAAACTGTTAAAAATAAACCGATCTGTCACTTCATAACTAATAACTCCACCTCAATTTGTCGCCCGCTATATTCCCTCGGCTGTTATTAAAGCGAAAACAAAAATGCTTCGAGAATCTACCTGGACTGCTTGATCGCTCTTGACTGACGCACGGTTGGTGTTGTTGTGTAGCTTTAGTTTAGGCTACAATGTACTGCTCTAATCGTCTAAAGATCGCAATATCCGTGAGAATACAGGCGCGTAGCATGGTCATTTTTTCAAGTACGCACAAGTACATATGATCTAGAGACCTAAGTAAACTGAGCGAAAAATATACTACGTTCTTTATTTCTTGTTTGAGATAGTTGTGTGAATACAAGAAAAGAACAAAGCGTCTTGCCCTTATTTTGAGCAAACTTGGCGCACATACAACATTGTTTTCAAATTTTTCTGGTCACTTCAAGTACGCATGTGCGTATATGCGTAGAGGACGGTACGCGCCTAAAATAACTACATGTAGAGCTGGGCCCGGAGATATTTCCTAAAATGTACCTGTTTCCTGCTGACATAGCAGGAAATAGTTACACTTGCGGACAAAGAAACTTGCATTTATTCACAGGCATGCATTTCACGCACAGTCGTTAGGGCGAAGCCCTCAGGCTTGTGAGAACTAACTCCTCAGCTAAAATCTTTCAAAGGAGCTCTTCGCAAATTGCTAGTTGATATACTAGAAAAGGAGGATGAGTGTATTGAAATCCTCATGATTGTTAATAAAGTGGTTCAAAAATATGTTACGTCTGTTTTTTTTTTTTTCTCCTCCTTGTCTTTCTAGGAAATATCTCTGGGCCCAGCTCTACAGCGTAGTTATTTTCACGGATATTGCGATCTTCTAGCCTGGATGATTAGAGCAGTACATTGAAGCTTAAACTGAAGCTACACAACAACACCAACCGTGCGTCAGTCAAGAGCGATCAAGCAGTCCAGGTAGATTCTCGAAGCATTTTTTTCCCTTTAATAACAGCCGTGGGAATATAGCGGGCGACAAATTGAGGTGGAGTTATTAGTTATGAAGTGACAGATCGGTTTATTTTTAATAGGTTGTCTCCGGTTGAACGCGTCTGGTACAAAAGAGAATTAAGTCCCTCTTTTCGCTCCATTCGCCCGCGTGAAGGTAGGTAATTTAGGGTAGTCCATTTAGGTAGTCCATATGGGTAGTCCATTTAGGTAGTCCATCGAGGGTAGTCCATCGAGGGCAGTCCATGGACTGGCGGTCAGCGACATGTACCCAACCGTTTTAAATGGACCATATTTCGTTGCCCATTCAAATTTTCAACGGTTCCTCGCGTTACTTAGCACCGCGTCACACAGCGCGTGACGCTATCGAGAAATAATCTCTCGTTTTTCAAGACGTTAGCTTGGGACGCCTGTAGTGAAACAATACAACGGAATTGTATGTGCTTCTCTCATATCTTCTCTGGATGTAGCCAGGTATGGTTGTTTACCCCACCAGTTTTCCTCTAACACAAACTTTGGCTAAACTGCAGAATACTTGGCCACTCTTTACATGTCCTTGAATAAGAACACCGTCTATCGCGTTATACAGCCTCGTTCTTCAAAGCCTCGCGACACTTGTAGATGAGGTAGCCAGGTTGCTCCCAAACTTCTCTGATTACGTGTAGAAAATTAAAAAGAAAAGTCACTTTCAACTTTCAACTTTTAAAGTTTTGTCCTTGGACTTTTCGCGTTTCATGTCCTTTGCCTGGAAAGTAAGATTTTCCTGTTACATAATTTGGTAACCTGCTGCATATGTAAGTGTCTTTAAACTTAGCCTGTCCACAATTTTAGCAACTCAAGCCACTGAGATATTAAATCTCTCTACAATCTGTTTCTTTCCATGCTTTAGAGTGATTTAGTTAAACACAAGCTAGAACTGGAAAATCTTATTTCAACTTGATAAAAAAGAGACTTAAGATTTAACAATGAAGATAATTGCTGGAAAAATACCTGGATTTCATTTGCACAATATAAGCGAAATTACTTCCATATAACAGTCAAGTTTTCTTTTCAGTTTGAAAGTTGAGTTGATGTTGTTACTGGCCATATTAAAGACAGTGAAAGGTTTTAGATGGTAGCCTTTCATGATAGCAACAAATGAATATCCTGGAAGAAGAGTTGTTGCGACATGATAACATGAAACACAACCATTAATTCTATTGTTCTAAAAGAGTACTCACTTGGCCATCTAGTTCTCAGTGCAAACTCAAGGCAAAACTCAGGTTATACATTGAATGCATAGCTTTGTCTTCCATTTGTACGTTAATGTACCAACCTACTGGCAGAACTTCGTAATATTTCAACTAAACCATTTTCCACCAGTAATTTAAGACCATTATAGAATAACTATCCAGGTACCCTGGTTCCGCGGAAAATTGGTGGCATATATGCCATGACTGAAATGCTATGTTCGGAATAAGCGAACAGGATTTAGGAGGGTGTAGGTGAGGATTACAGGCTCACATTTTGGCTGCCCAGGAGATTTAAGGGAAATTTTAATGAGGAGAGAGGAGTTTTTTTTAGCATGGAAACTATAGTTGTGAAATAAGCCATGCTTCAGTACTGGGAAACTCACTCTCATTCTTATAAACTAGTTTTAGGAAGGAAGCAATACTTAAATACATAAATTTGATGCTTATGAGGCTGCTGCACAAAACTTTAATTTTACTTTATTGATTTATAGCCAATACTAGTTCCTACAAATAATATACCTTACTAGAGTCAGGGGAAAATTAAATGTACCATACATTAAAGATTTTAAGTAATAATGTAAAAATTTTAAATTGACCTGTTGATAACTGATACTAGGAGATCTAAGAATATTCTCTAATTAAAAGCAGGTCGTCTACAGAAGTTGCAGAGAGTTCTAACTCAGCTGCTGATCTTGTGTTCAAAGAAAGTAAACTGTGTCAAATTATGCCTCTTGTAAGATCCCTGCACCTGTTACCAGTTAAGTATCAAATTGATCTCAGGATTCTATTGCTGATATAAAGGGCCATTCACAGACTTGCTCCACCTTTCATTTCTGAACTCATATCTGTCAGATCAAATAATGGCATACTTCTGAACTTTCCAACATACAAGTCTTTAACTACCTTGGGTGCCCCCAAACTATGGACTGATCTTCCACTTTATAATAGAAGTATATCTTCTTTAATAAAAAAAAGTTCAAAAAAATTGTTTTAAAAAATCTCTTATGACATCTTTGTTTCAGAAAGTGTTTCCTTTTTAATTTTTAATTTGAATTAATTAGACTAAGTATTAATTTGTATTTAGGTTTTTAAATAGAAGTGAATAAAATTTCATGATTTCTTAAACATTGTAATGCACAGAAGAAAATTTCCAATCGATATCTGCTCAATATCGGATAATAAATTTTTCTTATTAAAACTATCATTACAATTACCTTTCTATTAACCAAATCGTGAAACATAAGAAATGAATAAAATTAGTCTAACCCAGTTTGAATGTAAAATCCAAAATTTAATTATAACCAGAAGTTAAATAGGAAAAACTTTGATGTGTTTTCCTCAGCTACTCTAATTTATAAAAACACAAACCAATAACAAAGCCAATTAATTCAAATTTTACGATCAAAAGCCACTCTTCAAGGTGACTTTTTTTGATGATGTGTTCTTATTCTTAAAGCCATCTATTTTTAGTACCTACAGGTAAAAGGCAGTAAGAAGTCAGAGGCAATCTTTTATTAACTGAAATCTGAGAAGAATCAAGTCCACGCTTAGTCTAGTAATTTGACACATTATTGACAAATTCTACTTCTGATTAAATCTTATTTGATCAAAAACGTGAAAGGCACAGTGCACTGGATGAAATAACATGTAGTTGGGACACTGTGCTCTCTTTCTCTATCAGCTGGTAAAGTTTGTAATTTCCCGAATTTCTGTTTTGTGTTCAATTGTTTGTTTGCTTTTCTAACAGTCTTAATTATTTTTGCTAAGAAATATGAGGGGTAAATAAAACGTACATGGTGACAAAAGACCTCATATAATCAGTTTTAATATAGTTTACATGTAGAGTATTGCATGATTAAATCATTGCGGTAAGTACAAGTGCCTGGTAAACAACATTATCTTTTTCCACCTCAGAGAAAGCCTTGTGTGTGCAAAATTTTTAGTTCACTGCTTTCAGTAAGTTTTGGGCGACAAAGATTTACAGAGTACAACGGCTTAAAAAAATATATACCCTTTGAAGACACCTCTATTATGGTGCTGTAAGTATACAAAACTGAAATGTAAGAGTAAAGCATGTCAAGCATTAGAGCATGATTGTTGAAAATTTGCATTTAATTAATTGCAAACAGATTACCACTATTTTAAGTGTTCTTTACGAGGCTGAAATAAGCAACCTGCTCAAAGTTTTCGAATTAGCAGTTTGAAATTGTTGTAAAATTTACAAGTATTGTATTCAGCATGAATTATGAGAGGTTTTAAAAAAATCTCATTTTTATCTCATGCAGCTTTGAAAACTTATGTATCTCCACTTTCAAAGAAAAATGTTTCCCGCGATAATTTACAAAATTAAAGACATTGGTTACCAGCAATATTGTATGTGTTTCAGAAGAACAGATTTTCATCACATTATTTTATTTTAATATTTGAAAGCATAAATATATTTTAAACCATATCAATTGAGACATAACCAGAAATGTACGATAAAGACAGCAAACAAAATATTGCTGTATAATAATCCCGTTAAGTTTTCTTGTGTAACGCACACACAGATGTAAGAGATGTAAAAGAGGCTTTGTAAAAAAACAGAGTAATAAAATTATGGATTTAGGAGAATCATTACAACATAAAGTAGTTTATGGACACTAACTTACCTGAGTCACATTCCAAGTGCTCACTCTGCAAGACCCGAGCTTAAGTTCAGCTATTTCAATTTTATCTTCCCACACTTTAATTAAAATATGAAATTTATCATTTGTTGGCAGTTTAGGGGGGGGGGGGGGTCAAAGGTTAAATGTTAAATAAAAAGGAACGCATTACAACAAAATAAAGAAAGCATTCTACCTAGTACATGTATGCTTCTGAATACACCTATACAAGGAAGTCTACAATATTATTTACATCATGAGAACTGGAAGCAAGCAATTTTAGACTATCCTTCCCCCTCAACAAGTGTCTTACTCATCAAATGGGTAGTATTCATTTAGATTTACACTAGGGAACATACGGATTCATATGATTAAGGGAACGGAGTTTGGTTGTCAGACGGTAACCAATCAACAAGTGACACACATTCAGCTTAGGCGAACCACAGGGAGGCATGGTTATCATTTAGTCACTTACTGTCTCTTTCGTCTCAGTCAATCAGATGCAAAGCAGAAACCAATCACGAATTGGTTAGCCACGTTTCCAGTCCTTTTGGTCTTACATGTATTTACTTTGGGATGTGATTGGTTCGCTTGGATGTTTTCCTTGTTCCGATGGAGCACTGTAATTACGTTTGTTCTGGTTTCTATGGGTTCTGATGAACTCTTTTATAGTGGGAAGAGCAATTGCAAAAAATTTTCTCAATCACAGACACCGCAAAAAGATATACATGCACTGAGTAAGAACTTTAATGAGAGTGCTAATTTAAACTTTAAAAAGAAATAATGCTCAAATTATTCTTTGTCTCTTTCGTTTCACTAGAACTGTGCACGAATATCTATATTTTAATATTTATGTTTTTGGCTTTAATTTTTTGCTTATGTATACTTAGAGAATTCTTAGAGAGGCATATGCCTAGCCTATATATACCTGTCCACACGATTTTCACACGTCCAGTCATTTTCCATTGACCCAATCCACGTTTTTAAAAAATGGCTTAAACGTTTTCAAAACGCAATTTATCATTCATCGACCAAACTTGAAAAAAAAAAATTAGATGACTTTTTGGGAAAACTAGAGGTAGTGATAGTGCCATGCAGCCATGAATGATCATATTACCGGATTCTTAGTCGAAGATTGTGCTTCGCAAGCAATTCTGATTTGCGCTTACAATTTCCAAAGCAAAAACCGTATAATTGGAAGTCTCACATAGTTGTGAACGGGAAATTAAGTTAACTAAAATTTTCATCGATGAACTTCAAGCCTTGTTCGAGAACTCCTTTTATGGCGCCTTTTAAAACCGATTGATTTCCTGCCGGTTGATCTTCCGCCGATTGACTTTCCGCTGTCTGACTTTCCACCGATTGACTTTCTGGCAATCGACTTTCCACCGATTGACCTTGCGAGTCTCTTAGGGGAAGGCTTCTTTTATGCTTAAGATACTCCTCAATGTCTGTTTCCTCGTTCATTTGAGCCAAGTCAGCTGCATCCTTTCCATCCACTTTCAACTCAATATCGGCGTCGAGTTCAACCAGCTTTTTAACAACTTGAATGTTACCATGTATCGCTGCCAAATGCAGCGGTGTGAATCCGTCCATGTCGCAGGCGTTCATATCTGCTTTGCAATTTACCATTAGCTCTATAATCTTGGGACCAGCACTTTTGCTAGCAACATGAAGAACGGTGTGACTTTGTGTGTCAGGAAATGTATGACCCATTTCACGGATACTTTGCCTTACGTTCTCTGGTGGATCCTTTCCCCATCCACTCATGAGGATGAGTCCAAAGTCGGCAACGTCGATAGGGCCACCTTGAGTCCGCCTCAAGAACAGGGGCAATAAGGCTTTCTCTACTAAGACATAATGCCAGGCTTGAATTCCTCTGTCCGTCCCTCGAACAAGTTGAATTCTATCACTTGCATTCTCTTTGTATTTCACATTCACATCAGGATTGCTTTCAATGAGACATTTAACTATGTGTTCATTTTTTTTCCTAACTGCCGAATAAAGCGGGGTCCACCCATAGACATCTTGGGAGTTAATTTTAGCCCCATGCCTCAGCAGGATGTCAGTGGCGGTGTAGTTGTTCCAACGAGCTGCTAACATTAAAGGTGTAATCTTGTCGTTTATCCTCTGAGCATTTACGTCAGCTCCAAGATCAATGAGGGTCTGGATAAACTCACCAGAGGATGATAGACTTGCCCACAACAAAGGTGTGCGGTTGTTTTTTCCCGGTACATTGATATCTACACCCTCGTTTAGAACAATCTCCACAGCCCTCTCCGCATCATCGCTGGATTCGCAAAAGTGCAGCTCACTTATTGTATCAATTATCTCAACGTAGTCTTTGTATCTGTTTTCTATGTGAACATTTCGTTCTCCTTTTTCTTGCAGAGCTGAAATAATTTCTGGTACGTTTTTTCCTGGAAAAGCCTTTGCTTGGCTTCCTGTTTTTTTTAAGAACATTTCTTGAGCATTACCGCTGAGATAGGAAAGAGCTTTCAAAACCGTGTCATAGTCGCCATGAAATACAGCCGCCTGAAGTCGATTGAAACCGGATCGTGCATCTACGTGCAGAAAAGCTTTTTGTGAAAGGGACTTTAGGCTAAGCTGTAATGAAAAATACGTTATTGTAAATATTTTATGAAAAAAGAAAGCGTAACTGATAAAGAGCCTTTAGAACACCATTAAACGATTCAGATCATTTAGATCTGTTTGTCTTGTGTAACACTATATAATTTGGATATATCAACAAAGTTGAAATGGTAAATTTGCCACCGTAACGATTAAAAAAGCTGACGTTTCGAGCGTTAGCCCTTCGTCGGAGCGAATAGAGGAATT